GAACTTGATGACGGGGCGTCGCTGCATGTCACCGGTGTCTTTCCCCTTCCCAGGCTTAAGCTAGACATGTCCCCAACCAGGGACTCTGTACCAACAGCCGGGAATGGGATACCGGTGGAGCGCGGCGCTTCGCCCTGAGCTCGTGCGGTGTCGGAGTGGTCCCGCTCGCGCGGTGTTTGGCGAGTGCGACGTGAGCGGCGGCCCGGGCGCCGCCTGCGCCCGGGCTGCCGGTGCGCGATGCTGTCGTCGGCCAAAGGGGCTCGGGGTGGGAGGAGTACTAGGTCGTATTCACGTCCTAGAGACATGAACTCTAGGCTCCCAAACCAGATCACCGTGCCGAGACGTAGTGGGCGTATGCGATCTGCCATCCGAAATTTGTTGGGACGATTAAGCTAACACGCAGCGGCCCCGACCTGGCGCGCCAACTGTCGGTGTTTTGGACCGAGGGGTCCTCAACCAACTAGCGAATTTGAACTGCGTGCCCCTAATCCCGGATGGTGATGCAAAGAGATACAAGGTTTATACTGGTTCGGGCAATCGGTGCCCTACGTCCAGTCTGAGAGATCAATCTTGTATTCCTTGCACCGGAGTGCTTGTAGTAGGGGGTTACAAGCTGGGCGAGAGAGGGAGCTAGTCCCAGGTCTCGGCGTGGAGCGGTGTGGGCTGCTTGAGACGTTGCTCTTAGGTAGCGGGGGAAGCGTGTGTCTGAATCTACGTGAGCCTATGCGAGTATTCGTCTATATTCCTGTGTCTAGAAACGGCCCCGGTCTCTCCTTTTATAGTTGAAGGGGGGACTGGGGCGATACATGCGTTTGCTATGCAGCGTCTTGTAAGCGGAGGTGGCGTGTCTGAGTCCTGTAGCTTGCTACTGTGGCGGTATGGTTAACGGAGTGGTCTTGTCCTTGATGCACTGGAGCAATGCGCCGGTCACACCCGATCTTGCGCGACGTGGGAGCTCCAGTGATAGCTTGGCGCAGGGCATGGCCGACGACGTGCCGGTCGCTATACGTTCACAGTGTAAAAAGCCGAGGCTCAGTTGGTGCCGAGGCCGAGCCATCGTGGGGGGCTCGACGGGCGCAAATCCCGAGGCTGCCGAGACCCTGAAGTGGATTGTCGAGGCTTGGAGGGAGCAGTTGGTTCTATACACTGATTTCAAGGCTATAGTGACCCGGACTTGACTCCCCACGCCGCGCTGTTCCTGGAGCAGGAATTAGGTAGCACAGTGCAGTGCGGGCGCCAGTCATGGGCGCAGTGCTGAGCACAGTGGCCGGTAACCCCTGCTCAGTCCTGTCTCCCGTCCCGTCGGCCGCTCTGCTGTACTGCGTCGATGTGCGGCGGACGTTGCGGGAGTGGTTGGACGCGTGACGTTTGGTCAGAGAAGTCGGTCGAGGCGGAGGCGACGAGGTTGTTGCCGAGCCGGCCTCGAGCGAGTCGGAGAATCGGTAACCCGTCCGATGCCTAGCGGGGCGGGGTCTCGGGCGAGAGGGCCTCGGCGAGGCGGAGAGTCGGCCTTTCATCCAAGGCCTTTGCGGTGCGGGCCTCGGGCGAATCGGAGAATCAGCCGAGACCTCGTGATCGTCCTTTGGCATTGATATACGCAAGGCCTAAGGAATCTTTTGAGTTCTTACTTAGGGTACGCCTTTTCATGGTATCCGACAGATACAATTGTCACGCTTGGCGCTACCGTGGGCAGCCATCGGTCTCTTCCACCACAGCCACAGACAAGCTTACAACGACATTGATGTCAAGATAACATACATCATGCTTTGTTGTACTGCAGTGCTAGAGGCTTATTCCATTTCTTATTTTTCTGATCAGCTAACGCCCATGGGGGAGGCTGGGGAAGAGTGGCCAGAGATGGTTGCTCAATACAACTTCATAGGATACTTTGCCCGCAACATGAAGCACAGCAAGCTGATGTGGATTGTAAGCTTGCTTGGATGCAAGGACTTCCTTGACCAACACTGGTGCATGAAGTCATGCTTCTCGTCTGCTAGAATCTCAGAGCTGGTTCTGCAGTATCTGAAAGATGGGTGGAAGAATGAAATACATGACGCTACTAGTTACCGCAGGTTCAACGACCACGGCAGCCGCAGTGAAGAAGGTCTGAGCCTGAGCATAAAGAGGGAGAAGAAGCAATTGATGTTCGATTTCGATGAGAGCGTCGTCCTCTGGCACATCGCCACAGATTTCTGCTTCTTCTCGACGGCGAGCTCATCATCCTCAGACCTTGCTGATGGAAGAAACAACAGCTGTAAAGCCGCCGTCCTATGCAGGCAGATGTCCAACTACATGGCGTACCTCTTGTTCGTCAACCCTGAGATGTTGCCTGGCTCCAGGCGTAACCTCTTCATAACAGCCCACCAAGAGGTCCAGGCCATTTTCAAGCAGGGTGAGAATTCGAAGCCACCATTGGAGAAGACAAAGCTTGCACTTGCACTGAAGATTATCAGCAAGCTAAAGTCAGCATCACAACAAAGCTCTCCTCCCCCAGAGACTCTCATCCACGAGGCTTGGATGCTTTCTCAAAAGTTGCAGAGCTTAGGCGATGAGAAGAAGATGTGGGAGGTGATCCAAGGCGTCTGGGTTGAGATGCTCTGCTTCTCCGCCAGCAGGTGCAGAGGGTACCTGCACGCCAAGGCTCTGGGCAGTGGTGGCGAGTTTCTCTCCTACGTCTGGCTCCTGCTCTTCTACATGGGGATGGAGACCTTCACCGACAAGCTGCAGAGGGAGGAGCAGGACCTTGTTCCAAGCCATGACGAAGCTGCTGGGAACCACGAGACCACCGCTCCACCATCGACTACCGAGCGGGTCTCCTCCACCACCACCACCACTCCATCGGCTTCCGAGATCTGCATGGCTCAAGACGACATGGTTTGACTTATTTGCACCTCGTCCTCCTGGTTAATCCGATTTCCAGCCCTTTTAGTATTTAACTAGTACTGTAATAATTACTAGTGTCTGCAAGCCTGTTTGTGGACGTCATGCATTCTCTCTATTGTTTTTTGCTGCTCATCTGTGTCACTGTCACTGTGTGTGTAATAACTAACAAAAAAAAAAAGATACATTATGTCGTTTGTTTCCCTCTTCTGTAATGCATTCCGCTCTGTGTAATGTTGTTTCCTAAAGGAGATAATTGTTATTATAAGACTCCAAACAGTGAGCTTCGCTATTATAGGATTTCTAACATCGGTTTTGCTAAAATATGACTCGAAATATTGACACTTTTTATACATGACATTTTGTACTTTTAATCATATTTCTCATCTCAAATACATGTATTTTGCCATGACTTGACCGTTTTGCCCTGCCCTTGGTTCTAAATCGTGAACTTGGACAGCAGCTCCGCGTGTCTGTTCTGGCTCTCGCCGTCGTCGTCCGCCGATTCGTTGCCATGGTCTGCGTCGCGCAGCACCCAGATGAACCGCTAGTCGCTGTCGCACAGTGCCGCCGCAAGGTCTGCGATCTGCTCCGTCCGCAGCGACGGTGTCGTGCCGAACGAGACGTGGAGTACCGAAGGCTTGTCCAGCCAGTCCAGGCACTCGTGCCGCGGCTTGCTCCACCCGTTCTGGGCGTCCGCGTTGAGGTCGAGCAGCGGGTTTAAGGGCCCGACGGCGAAGTACTTCTTGCCGTCGGCGGCCAGGTCGCCTGCAACGACGTCCATGAACTCGCCCTCGAACGCGCGACACGAGTTCACGAGGATGCCCGCGCCAGGCGAGATCTCCCTGGTCGGCATCGCGCGTTTGGCGACGTACTCCGCAAACTCCCTCGACGCGCAGTGCGTGACATCGAGGAACGCGTGGGGAAGGGCGACGGCAGTGTAGGCCTCGAACAGGGGCATGAGGTGCGTGGGGAAGAGCGACGGCGCTGTGGGGTCGGGCGGCGGGGAGACGTACACGGAGATGCCGAGGTCGTGGAACTCGACGGAGCGGAGCGTGGCCTCGTCCCAGCCGTGCACGCGCGCGGGTCTGGCGGACCTGCGCCGCGGGCGCCGCGTAGTGCACGTGCACACCTTCGGGCGGAGGCTCTCCATCCATGGATAAGAACGGCGGCGCGTCTGGCGAGTCGCGTCGGGCGTACGAGAGAAGGAAGGAGGAACGATCGGGCCGGGTAGATGAATCGATGAATAGAGCAGAAGGGTAATACGGGCAATACGAGAAAATACATGTATTTGAGACTTCAAATATGATTAAAAGGAATAAAATGTCATGAAAAACAAAGTGCAAATGTAAGTCTTATTTTAGCGAAGCCAACTATAGAAATCCTAAAATAGCGAAGCCCTATGTTTGAGTGCTATAATAACAATTATCTCCTTCTGAAGCTTTATTGTAATGTTTGAAATTTGATGAGTGCATCATCATTAGTCGCCAATATCATTGGTAGTCCATCAGGATACCATTGGCGATAATTGGTACGAGCAGGGATAAAAAAGGTACAGATATTTTTCGACCGTATTCGAGACCGAATTCGTTTAGAGGGGTTTTAATCCGTCCGTATCCAAGTCCAGATATTCAACATCCGATACCGTATCCGTATCCGAATACTCAAACTGTATATTTGTTATGTCGATATCCAATCGTATCCTATCCGGCATGGTTGATATTATCCGTATTCGAATTCGAATCCGAATAAAAATATAAAAACAAATATGATATTGGTGATATCCGTTCTGATCCGTGCATAGGTACCAGTACAAACGTTTCCAATATCGGCCCGTTCAAGTCTGGTCGGAAGTAAGGAGGCTAGCCCAACCCATCAGAGGGTGTTCTGGACTCAATTACGATGTCAGATGGATCATTCGTCCTGGCCTGGCCCAATATGCCGGAGTCCAGTACACACAAATGGGAAGGCAAGAGCCCTCGAAGGAGCCATCCCCGATCTCTCCCCACCCTGCCGCCGCACTTGCTCGACCGCCGGCGCCGCCCGCTCAGTACCGCACCTGTCTCCTCATCCAGCGCAAAGGCCGCCCGCCGCTGCCCGCCTCTGTTTGGTCTCCGGAGATGGATGGGGAGGAGGAGAACGTCGGGCCGTTCCGCCGGACCAGCGCCCGCACGCGCCGCATGGCCACGCGCATGGCGTCCGCGCTCGCCAGCTCCGACAACCGCGCCCAGGTACCGACGGGTTTCGGCTGACTGCTCCAGTCCTGCGTTCCCCCTCTCTTCCTCTCATGCCAAGCCGTTTCCCTCCCGTTTGCCAATGAGGATGCCAATTCCCTTTCCTGGAGAGTATTTTTTTTTCACTTTACTGTGTTGAACTTAGAAATGGATAGATGCTCTCTCTACATTGTCTCTCCTCGCGTGTTGTGGTCAAAATGCTCCAATTTTATCTATAAAAGAACCATTTCAAGTGATTGGCCTTTTTGTTATTTCTGTTTTTTAAAAGACTGATTGGCCATTTAGCCTCATTTTTAGAAAGCCGCAAGAATTTTGCCGAAATTTTGTTAGACTACGGGAAAGAAAAAAAACAGTGATTACAACTAGAGCTACTGCACTACTAAGACCGCCACTAACTCTACTACGGCACGCAGGCCGCCGGGCTAAACCCAACGCTGAGGAGGAAAACAAAACGGCTACTAGAAGAAAATTTAACATTACAAACATATTAGGAATGATTGGCCATTTAGCCTCATTGAAAAGTAGTTTTAGTAATGATAAGTATATGCTCTAGAAAACATATATTAGGAAAAGAGTTCTATCCTGGGTTTGAAATGTGTATTATGCCCCATGTGTTTTGTGGTGCCTGCGCCTTTCTCATGGCTCCTTACCAAAGGATTTGACTTTGAGGTGTTAACTAATTCCGCTTCCATACGTGTTCAGATTGGGACCATTTTGTGCTTATAGGTCGCCAATCAATCACTGTGTCTGAAATTATTCTCCTTGATGTTCTGCTGTCCCACTATGGATACCTTCATATCTGTAATGCAATTGCAGGCTGCATTAGCTCGCCTTGAAGCTCTTGAGAGCGATAATGCCGGGGTTGAGGTGGTAGATCTTAATGATGATGAGTACGGATCCACGGATGAGGAAGACCCTGGTCAGTTTCTTTCTCATTATTATCCTCAAAGTAATGCCATGATGCGGAAAACGATAATATAGATAGAGCACATGTAGAAACTCAATGCAAAAATGTTGTTACTCTTTGCAAACTGTGAGTACTCAAACAAACATAGATTGCTTCCAGTAGAATACTTGTCCATGGGATATTTTAATATTGCTTCCAGTATCAATTTTGCAAAGGAAAAAAACAGCATTCTCTGTTTCTTATTTTTGCAAAGGATTCAATAAAGAAGATTAAAACTATCCTGAAAGACAATATTTGAAAGATACTTTCCTAGTTTCCTTTCTGGCATGAATAATACAACAAATTATTCATTAGCATATAGAATGCCACTAAAGCCAGTCATTTATATACCCTTGAACTCCACAAGCTACAACTTGTTAACTGCAAAGGTTCCTGGGTCTGGATTCACAGTTTCTGTAAATGCTGCATTTCCGTTATATATACTTATATATAGGTCTTTTGGGTTGTGGACGGATCTGTGGATGTCCATTCAGCTCAAATGCTCTACCCACTGGTAACTAAAGTTCGATGATGTTAAGTCATCTGTTGTTTTCTGCTTGCCTTTCTACAGTTCTCATGCAAAAGAAGCAATCCAAGATCATGAAACGCAAGACAAGGCAAGGCAAAGCTTTGGAGAAGAGGGCAGTGAGATCATTCATGGATGTGCTACAAGAAGTAAGTACTTGTGCTGTAAGTTTTTTCCTTGTTTATTTTATAAGTAGTGTTAGAATTATTTGCTCCTTTACTGTAATCTCCTAGCTAACTGTGCAGGCGCCAGCTATACTGGCCCTTTCACACTGCTGGCCCCTTGGGCCATCCCCTCTCTCTCCTATATAAGTGTAATCCCTTCTGTAATCCATTATCAAGGAATATACAAAGCCTAATGGCCTTTGTCTAATATGGTATCAGTCTAATCGTATCCCCTGCTTTCGCTACTCTCTGCCGCCGCCCAGCCCCGACCCGCGCGCGCCTCTCCGGCCGCCGCGCTCTGGCTGCTGCGCCCGCCCCAACGGCCGCCGCGCGCCCTCCTCCGGCCGCCGCGCGTACCCCGCCGGTTCCCGTACCCATGGCTGCTCTTTCCTCCGGCGGCGATTCCGGCTCCAGCGCCTCGGCTGCCGCCGCCGCGACCAAGCTCCGCGACGAGGCGCTCGCCGCCGCCAAGGCTCTGGAAGTTGAGGCCGCCTCCCTGCGCGACTCCAACCAGGCGCGCAGCGCCCAACTCAAGGAGGAGGCGGACCTCCTCAAGTCCGCCGCCGCCGCCCAGGAGCGGGTCCGCGCTGTTGCCGCCACTCTCGACTTGGAGCGCGAGCAGGCTGACCTGCTGGAACAGCAGGCCGCGGCCCTCCGCGCGCGGCTCCACCCCTAGCATCACCGCGACGACGACTCCATCGCCACGGAGACTGCGGCTGTCGCCCATCTTCATAGCCAGGCGGCCGCTGTTTAGAACATCAAGAACCTCATTCCTATTGTTCTTGATCTGCAAGCCTCAAACTACTCCAAATGGCGCGGTTTCATCCTGCTCATCCTTGGCCGGTTTGCCTTGAAGGACCACGTCCTCAGCGACGCCATCCACCTCCACGATGCGGCATGGTCCCGCATGGACTGTGTTGTCGTCTCATGGATCTTCAACACCATCGCCCTTGACCTCCTCGACGTCGTCCACGAGCGTGACGGCATCACTGCTCGGGCGGCATGGCTCGGCCTCGAGCAGCAATTCTTCAACAACCGTGAATCACGCGCCATGCTCCTCGACGCCGAGTTCCGCACTCTCTGCCAGGGTGCTCTATCTGTGGATGATTACTGTCGCAAGATGAAGCACATGGCGGACGCGCTCGCCGACCTTGGCGAACCCGTCCTGGACCGGACCCTGGTGTTGAATGTGCTGCGCGGCCTCAACGAACGCTTCCAATTCATGTCGCAGCTCGTCACGCGGCAGAAGCCCTTCCCATCCTTCGCCGACGTCCGTGCTGACCTGAGGCTGGCCGAACTCAACATGGTGTCACCTTCAGCTCCGCCCTCGGCCCTCGTCACCGCGCCGTCCAGCAAGCCGCCTGCTCCGTCCCCTGCTCCTCAGCGCCCTCCACAGCCTGCTGGGGGACAGCAGCTCGGCCACACCCCTTCTCCTTCACGCCATCCTCAGGCTGCTGGGGGCCAGCAGTCCGGCAACGGCAATAACCGCGGACGACGTCGCCGCGGTGGACGCGGCCACGGCGGCGCCCAAGCCGGCACTCAAGCCGGCCCACCAAATGGCCAACAGTGGCCATCCTTCTTCAACCCATGGACCGGGTCCATCTAGATGTGGCCCGGGTCCAACCCAGGCGGCTCTCGCGGTCCACCGCCACAGCAAGCTCTCATGGCCGGGGTGCCCCCGGGTTACTTCGCTCCTCCGCCGGTCCCCGGGGCATACTACCAGGCGCCCCAGCAGGCGCCCACCTCGCCGTCGTCGCCTCGACTCTCGAGGGTCTCGCCAACGCTTTCAAAGACTGTCACCCTCACTCCGCCAAGTCAAGCACCTCGGATTGGGTCTTCGACTGGGTGCTTCCTCTCACATAGCCGGCACTCCTGGTATGGTCACCATGTCACCAACCTCCTCCTTTCCTTCTTCAATTGTTGTGGGAAATGGCGCCACTCTTCCGGTTGTTGGCACTGGCTACTCAACCCTCCCTGACCCATTTCGCCTCAACAATGTTCTCATTGCCCCTGACATTATTAGAAATCTCTTGTCAATTCGGAAATTCACCACTGATAATCTTGTTTCTGTCGAGTTTGACCCTCTTGGTGTTTCTGTGAAGGATCTTCGTGCAGAACCTCCTTCACCGTGATGACTTTCGGGACCCCTTTACACCTTGCAGCTCCCGACATCACCATCCGGTTCTTGCGCTCTCGTGGCCACTCCCTCCACTACTTGGCATTATCGGCTCGGTCATCCCGGGAAGGCCTCTTCAGACTCTTGCCAAGTCATCCTCCATCATCTGCAGCAAGCCCGACGATGACACTCTCTGCCATGCTTGCCAGCTTGGGCGTCATGTCCGCTTGCCTTTTAACAATTCCTTGTCTCGTGCAACTAAAAATTTCGACTTGATACATTGTGATTTGTGGACTTCCCCAATCATCAGTGTATCCGGTTTCAAATATTATCTAGTCATTATTGATGATTGCTCGCATTTTGTTTGGACTTTCCCTCACTAAAGTCTGACACCTTTAATGCTCTCTCCAATTTTTTCGCCTATGTGCTCACTCAGTTTGGTTGCACCATCAAGACCGTGCAGTGTGACAACGAGCGTGAGTTTGACAACTCCGCGTCGCACGCTTTCTTTTCTGCCAAAGGTGTCACCCTTCGCATGTTATGCCCCTACACCTCGCAGCAAAATGGCAAAGCCGAGCGCATGCTTCGCACCGTCAACAACGTCACCCGCACCTTGCTCTTCCAAGCATCCATGCCCCCCTCTTACTGGGTTGATGCCCTTGCCACCGCCACTCTCCTCATCAATCGCCTCCCAACCAAGACCCTGAACATGAGCACTCCCTTCTTTGCCCTCCATGGCACTCTCCCCTCCTACCATAACCTTCGAGCTTTCGGGTGCACCTGCTACCCCAACCTCACCGCCACCACTCCTCACAAGCTCGCTCCACGATCTTCCTTGTGGCGTCTTTCTTGGCTATTCTCCTGACCACAAGGGGTATAGGTGCCTTGACCTCGCCACAAACCGCGTCATCATCTCACGCCACGTTGTCTTCGACGAGACAACGTTCCCTTTCTCCCTCCGTCGACCTTCGCCACCCACACACGAGCTTGATTTTCTAACTAACGACGATTCGTCGTCAGTTTTACTTCCACCTGCAGGTACACCGTGGGCTGCTGGCCCTCTGCCCGCCAGTGTGCTCTCCCAGCCGGTGCCCACCTTGGGCGCACCGGCCCCCTGGCAGCCTCCGCCGGGCTTCGTGCCCCGGCCGCCGGGCTCCTCTCCAGCTCGACTTGTACAGGCGCCCATGGCGCCCTCTGTACAGACGCCCACTTCGCCGACGCCCATGGCGCCCTTGGGACAGGCGCCCACTTTGTCGGCGCCCATGGCGCCCTCTGCAGAGGCGCCCCCGGTGCCCCCGGCACCCTCTGCTCCGGTGCCCACGGGTCCTTCTGTACAGGCACCCCTGGTGGCACCCCCTGTACAACTACCTCCGGCGTCCTCCTTCAACAAACCACCGATCATTCATGTGTACACCCGGCGTCCACCCGCCCCCAGCTCGCCACCTGCGTCCCCTGTTGGACCACCTCCTCGACGCTCCAACATGATTCCTTCACCGCCGCGCTTCGTCAAGGGTGACCCTCCTCTTCCAACAGGAGCTGTCCCCATCCCGCCAGTCGCCAACACTCATGGCATGGCGACCCGCGGGAAGTCCGGTTACCGACAGCCGCGCCTCGCGCTGCACACTGAGGCTCTGTCACCTCCACCACGCTCCTGTCGTGACGCCCTCGCCGACCCACACTGGCGTCGGGCCATGGAAGAGGAGTATGCTGCCCTACAGGACAACAACACTTGGGATCTCGTTCCCCGTCCTGCCAAGGCAAATGTGGTCACCGGCAAATGGATCTTCAAGCATAAGTTTCATGCCGATGGTTCCCTGGACAGATACAAGGCTCGCTGGGTGCTTCGCGGGTTCACCCAACGTCCCGGCGTTGATTACGACGAGACATTCAGCCCCGTCGTCAAGCCTGCTACCGTCCGGACTGTCCTCACCTTGGCTCACTCCCGGGATTGGCCGATTCATCAACTTGATGTGAAAAACGCCTTCCTCCACGGGACCCTGTCAGAAACAGTCTACTGCTCACAACCCACTGGTTTTGGTGATCCTGCACTTCCTGGTCATGTATGCAAGCTCAACAGATCCCTCTATGGACTAAAACAGGCTCCACGGGCATGGTACAGCCGGTTTGCCTCCTTCCTGCTTTCTTTGGGTTTCAGTGAAGCAAAGTC